CTCTAAGAGATACCAAAAATGACAATAATAATATAGTTCAAGATATTTCACCAAAGCATATTTGTGTAAATATATCATTTTGAAGCAGAATTCCACATTATGAGTTAAGCAGGATGTTTTTAATGCTAATGGGAAGATAAGTAGCATTTTCAGGAAACAAAAGAGGAAGGAAGACATAATTAATTTTAATGTTCCAATATAAGTGAGCATAGAATTTCAGTTAACTGCATGTCTGGAGGGGATCTGAAACTGAGTGGCTATACTACTATGAAATTATTCAGATAGGAAAGGTTCAATCATTTATGGATTAATTATCAGCTATACTGAAAATCACATACATCTACATAAAAATGCCAACTTCTGAAATAATAATTTATATACAGTATTGGTATGTTCAAATGTTGTTAACAGTCAGTAAATAGACATTTTGCTTATAAATGTATACAGTGTAATCTAGCCATGAGTTTATTTACTCAAAAAATAAGTGAACACAATTCTCTAGCACATGTAGCTTGCCAACCTTTTGATGTAGGCCTATTCAGAAAAACAAATATCAGAAGGGCAACTGGAATTCTACTTTATTGTTGAAGGGTATAATAAAAAAAGTCCCTCTCTTATGCTAAAGAGAATCAAAGTAAAGCAATCTTGAGTTTCTTATTCATTCTCTTTCAGGGCTAAGGTGGTGTGTTGCTAATGGCTGCTGAATATCTTCTTCAAGACCATCTTCATGTTTCTCTACCTAGCCTGTCATCAAGAGTTCACTACAAGAGTATTGAAAGTGAAACCCAATCAACAAGGCTGGGAATCACTGTCTAATAAAAATATTCAGGATCACAGCCTTGATTTGAATAAGATTTTAAAAACAAAATATATTGTCTTCCATACACACCTCAAACAATGTAGAATTAATGCTTTTACAAATTCTTGAATACTGTAAATATAGTTAAGAACTTACTGCACGAAAACCATACAATTATTCTGGGATGTAAATGAAACATGCTCTTGCTTTTTATATTTTTTGAAGAGAAGCTAATAAAGTAAAGAAAACATTGCTGAATGCATGCTAGGCTTGGTTTTGTCTTTATTAAAACAAACCCAGCCCCTCCCAACCTCAAGTTCATCTAAAATTTTGTTTCTTAACATTTTCTATTGTCCTTCAAAAAAGCACAAAGTGGCTATGAAGTTCTGTTGTTTTGATTAGCAGTTCTCTGTATTCTCTGGCATCCATTTTTACTCAGGAAATACCTTTGCAAGTGCCTAAGCAGCTAAGAATGAGAGTGGAAATATTTTCAAAATAAAAATGAGGAGATCAACCTGTTTATCATCATGTTTCTTTTCTGGCAAGGAAGATATCATGTTGGTGCTAAATAAAACCATTTGAAAATTGCAAAGAAGAGGAGGTGGGAGGATGCTAAACTGTGAGAAAGTATATAAAAAGAGAGAAGTATTAAGTAGATCTAAATGTGTTGCCTGCTTCTAATACAGGTAAAATATTAGGAATGGAAGATGCTTCAAACAGATGCCTCTTAACTGCTTCTACAATAACTGAATTTTATACAAATATTTTATAAACAGGCTTACAAGTTTTAATTGAGATTAATTCATGACAGGCCTATTTAATTGATGGGAATCAGTTTTACACATTTCAATGCAGTTGATCTTTCCTCTTAAAGGTGAAGAATGGATTTTGTTAACTTTATTTTTATTACTGGTTGGTTAGTAGACCATTTATTTATTTGCTAAATTTATATGGCTGCCCATCACACAAGAAGTGACTCTGGGAGGCATACAGCAAAAATTTAAAACAATAAACATGTCAAAACAGTCACATTAAAAAGGCTTTTTGAAAGAAGGCATAAAAATACACAAGAGATTATATTAGCAAGGGAGCCATCTCAAGACCTCACCAGTCTCCTGAGACTGCCTGGCTGGATAACATAGTCATATCTTGAGGGATTTTTGGAAAATAAGTAGGGATTGGTTTACTTTACTTGTTTGATTCTTTGGTTTACATGCTAATCAATCAATATGCTCAAGCTGGCTTAAAAATCTTCCACTGGAGACCTAATATTAACTAAGACTCTAGAAACTTACCAATTTCTTTCCACTATGGCTCTGAAAATGTGCTTCCTCTTCTATAGTTTTGAAGATAATGGACTGCCTGCTAAACACTGGAAAGGAGGGGAGCTGCTGTATATCTGAGCTCCAGTTATTGCAGCAAAAACAGCCTCTCTGCTTCTGCAAATGTAAAGTATATTATGAGAAAGAAACAAATTAGATTGTAGACATCCATTAGCAATCTATTTAGATTATAGTAGTCTTAATTCAGATTCAGATTAAAATAATTCTTCCTTGCTAGAAGATAGTAATTTTTGTATTGGCTGGGACTTTTAGCAACAAGATATTATTTGTTTTTATTTACAATCAGGATAGTTTATTGTGTTTGTTCCCCTGGCATCAAACTATTATAGCCCTATAAGGGACTAGAATGCTATTTGAAAAAAAAATCACAAACACAGTTTATATTTTGCCTCAAATGTCTTCAGTTTATGTGCTGGCAACTTCATGGGGGGGGGGGGAGAAATACCCTCCACCTGAGATCTTCCAGAAGCCATTATTGGTCAAAACAAACCTGAATTATTACTCTAATGCCCCACTAACGCAAAACCAACCTAATAGCCATCTAAACCAGCCCAGGAAATTTTTCATCAATCATTGCTTTTGGACTCTAAAAACAATGTTTGTAAAATACAAGATGGTACTAATGGCCCAAATGCAGTTTATGTGTCTCAGATTAGATGAATCAACAGTTTAGACTTAACCTAAAGTGGGCCAGGAAAACTGGGAAAATGATATATTATGTGCCATACCAGCTTAATGTGGGGATATTTAAAATGGCTCAATTGTAATCCGTTTGAAAACTTTTTGAGTATGCTACAAACAGAAACAAAGGAATAATAAAAAAAAAAAGACCTGTATGCTAAGTCTGTCTTAGAGGCTAAGTCTGTGCCTCAGAGGAGAAAGGCTATTCAATTCAACACTTGTAGGTTTCCTTTATAATCCATTCTATATATTTGAAGGCTTAGGTCATGGCTGTCCAATCATTTGGTTTGCCTAGGCTGCATTGAGGAAAAAGGAATTGTCTTGGGCCACATATAAAATACATAATAGCAAAAGCACTTAGACTTGTATACTGCTTCATAGTGCTTTACAGCATAATGTACTGTACAGTACAATTTGTACTGTGCTTTATAGTACATTTTACTGTACATTGTATCATCATCATCATTTTAGTATTGTCTGTCCACTGCAGGATGAAGGCCTCTTCCACATGTTTCCAACCAACACGATCCTGGGCTTTCTTTTACCAGTTGGGCCCACAATACTTGCTGATGTCTTCGATACAGTATATGGTACTCTGGACAGCTAGTAATGTGGCCCCACAAGATAGTAAACTTTTAATATGTGATTTATAAACTGTACATTAATATCCAGGGCCCCAGGCAGCCCATAAGCCACATGTTGGACATGCCTGGTTTACGTAGAAGCTCATGTCCATAACTGCCTTTTCATATGCAGTTTTAATATGTTCAATTGGCTATAATAAACTCTGTGTGTGTGTGAGAGAGAGAACATACTCAGCTGTCATGTTTGATTTTGTTATGTATGTATTATACTGTTTTTACACCACCACCATCCAATATCCAACATAACAGAAGCTGTGAACATCCATTAATGCCCAAACCATAAATTCATTTCAGCCAAAAAACTGTTTGGCTATTCATTCATTTTTTAAGATGTTAGATCTGTTAACATCTAACTATATCTTAAGAAAAGACTCTTACAAATAACTCCATTCCCTGATGGTCAGGGAATTTCTGGTAGAAGAGAAGTCCAGAGGGTACAGGATTCCAGGAAAATTCAGATTTCTTGCTCTATCCTTAAGTAAAGGGATACTAAGGATGTGCACATCGGATGAAAAAAGTCTACTTAAAGTGTTTGATCTGGCAGGTGCCGGGTGTCACGTCATTTAGAATCTTACAGATCAAAATAGTGAAGTGTATCTTACAGATCAAAATAGTGAAGTGTATCTTGTGTACTGGCACAACCCATAGCAACAGTGTTATGGGCAAATAAATGTTCATCCCAGTCTACTTAAGGGTCAGGATATCATCTCATTAGTCCTGCTTCTTCCATTCTTCTAGTTTTTAAGCATGCTTGTAATCTACTGTGTTATCAGAATCAGCATTCAGACAAAAATTAATACTCTGGATATTTTGATTAATAGCATCATAACACAATCCTAAACATCCATGTGTTCCAAGGATATATATTCAAAGCAACCAACTTCTCTAAACTTTCTTCCATTAAAAAAATAGGGACCAATTAAAAATGAACAAAATTTAAGACCTGTCCAAGCAGACGGAGAATTTCATTAGCAAACCTTTGGGCTGATAATTAAGGTGCGTGCCGATAATGAACGCCTAGCAAAAACGATTTTTGCTAACAATGAACGTTGAAAAATAACTTCAGCACCACGGACAGCGACCAAGAGCGCCGAAATCCCTTGTTTCATTGCATTCCGCCGGCGCTCCAGCAGCCGCCGACCACGCGCAGTTCGTCGATTTCACAGGGGCTTCTGGCTCCACGGGAAGGTGTTGGCTTTGCAACCTGTGGAGCCAACACGAACTCCGACTTCTCTTCGCCCTCGGAAGCTCAAGAAAATCCTCGCAGGAACCTCCCCCTCTCAGTGGCTCCACCCTTCCAACGCTTCTCAGGCTCCTATGAAGCCAAGCTCAAGTTTCGGTTTTTAGGACCAGACGCCGCCGCTTCCTCCTAAGTCTCTCGAGTGTCTTTAATCCTGCTTGCCAGATGTTTAGTGAGCTGCATTTTCAAAGTGACCATCCTTAGGGACCTAAGGTAGCTGAAGGCGGGGCTAAACATCTCAAAAAAATAGTTAGCGTGCTTGGATTTTTAACCGTTTGCTAAAGCGGATTTCCCCATATCCCTCCAAGATTTACAATCCCGAAGTTGGACTGCTTTGACCTAGTCGAAGAAGGTGGCCGTGGGAACTGGTCGTCGCTGATTAGTGTTACCCGCTTTCTGACGCCCGGTGACACAATCTCCCGTTCCGCACAGTGATATCCGCGTGTCCCGACGTCCCTGTTACAAGAGTGCCGGGGATCGTCTTCAAGCTCTAACTGGCGGGCGATGGAACCTCGGCGCCCCCTGCAGGAGGGGGAATCCAGCGCATCCTTTGGGAGAGTGCGGCGCTGAAATGTACCAGAATCTCCCCAAGAGCTTGAAGGCGCTTTGATCGCCACCGCGGCTCCGATCTCCCTGCTTGTTTCCCCCCCATCTACATACTTTTCTTCTCCCGCAGTTGCTACTGAGGTCCAGCGTCTTTGGACAGTTGCAGAGCTGGAAATCGGGCGACTTCACCCAAGTAGACGCCTCCAAGGGTAAGTGGTCTCTCCGAATACTGTCCTAACGGTGTTTCAGGATATTTGCCTCCCCTCCCCAATTTTACAGTGTGTCCGACAAACATACTGTTGAGTGACGTGTGTAGTGATAGCGCTGGATATCTATGTGAACGGAGGAAGGAGACGTCGAAAGAGGCATTTCCTTCCATTCAGGTCTAATTGCACGGAGGTCTTTTAGTGTGCAAAAGAAGGGTGGGGACTGACTGTCCTGATCCTCTCCTTCTTATGGACGAATTTTCTCCTCTAGCTGTGACACTTTCTCCCCTCCTTTTAAGACTTGGCACTCGCTTTTCCCTAAGGCCTCCCCCACTTTCTAAATCCGCTTGCTAGTTTTGGGGTCGACACACTAGTTAGAAGAATAAACCAACCTGGAGGAGGGACATGCAAAGCGGGACAGGAAATGGATTAAAATATAATATAAATGTATCTTTAAAAACTAGAGTTCCTTGTTCTCTTCCTCTTCTAGTTCGTTCTTAAAACAAAACAGCACTATATTTCTTTTTCCCCCTCTCCCCTCTCTTTTATTTCTTTACTGATTTGTGGGGGGGGGGAGGGAGGATGGAATTCCGCCAGATGGAGTGCAAATATTCTAGGGATGCTTTCTATTCTTTTGACTCCCATTATTACCAACATGGATTCTCTGCATAGCTATTAGCAATTATCTGACTTGCATGAGATGCTGCATTTCAAGTTATTCAGAAATCTCGGTTTATAGAATCATCCTGTCTTCCCTGCTCTTTTCCTGAGTTCCATCTGGGAGCTTCTCTTCCAAGAAGTCAAATGACTCTTCCATTTGGGAGATTTATCCATACTGAAAGTAAGCAGTCTGGTAAACATTGACCAAAGGATATGTTCCACCAAGAAATTATCCTGAGCATTCATTTTAGTGGAGCTTCCACAAGCCACTTCATACAGCGGCTGTTTAGCAATTTTTTTATTATTCATTCATTCATTCCTTTAAATTTATTGACTGCCCAACTCTAGAGGAGCTGCACATCAGATGGAAGACATTGTGCTTAGGAGAGCTGATATAATTCATAATCTATGGTGTTTCATTTATAATAGTAAGGACGTTGCCAGGCTTGGTTCACTTTGTGTGTAGTTGAGTTGCGGGGTTGTTGCTGTCATTCAGGCAATCGTCTATTCAAACTTTATCTTACCCAGACTTATTGTATCTGATTCTATATTCCAGTAATAATAACTTCACTTCAGTTTAATTTTGCTTAATATTATCAAGGTTTTCCATTAGCACACAATTCCTGTAACTCATATTAGAAATTGCAAATTTCATTTGATTAACATGATCATCTTTTTTTCTATTCATGTCTCATGCATGCCTTGCTTTGCTTTCTTGTGTCTGGTAATATTCATAAAGTTATGGTTAAAGATGTTTCTGAAATGAGATTTTTCCCTAACTGTTTTTTTCTTGAATCCACTGTACATTTCATGTATTTCCTTGTATCTTCACAGTGACATCCTATAATATTTGTATGTAGCACAATTACTGTATGGATCATCATATGGAGAATTCTACCTAGAAAATAAAGATTAGATATATTTATGTCTAAATATATAGCCTAATGCTGGCAGGATAGTCTGGAACTGTTGTCACAATATATCAGGGAGGCAACAGCTTGGGAAAGACTTGTTCTCAGCAGTTTTTTCTTGGCCTTCCTATTTAATCAAGATCCTTAAATTGATGGGTGGGAGGCATTTGCCTTAGATCTAGGAATTTGGGGAATCAGAGGATGGCATTTAACTGATGATAGATTATTGTGACTGCTAATTTTAATTCCTTTTGTTCCCTAGTGAATTTATTATTATAATATTATGATTGGTCACAGAGTCAGCCAGATGTTTAGATTGGCTTTGGCATTTTTATCCACCTATCAAGTGCTCCCCACTGACCTAGGGTAGGCAGATGTTGGTTGATGGTTCTAAAGATACCATCACAGGATGTAAGCTGTTCCAAGTACAGCTGCCTTTTGCACTTGACTGATGGTAATTTTGTCATTGCTGAAGATATTCAAGTGGTGTTCCAGTTGCTTTAGAATTGCATCCGAAGTGCCTATTACTATTGTTACTATCTTTGCTTTTTTTTTTGCTACATCGTTCTACTTCTATTTGCAGTTCTTTGTGTTTTGTGATTTTTCTACAGACTTTCTCTTCTCTTCTGTGGCTCCAGGTATTATTATCTCTTCACAAAATGTGAAGTCACAGGTGCCTGTTCTTTAGTTGGTGTTGGCTTTCATAGGCATCTAGTTCTTTCCAAGAACATAAGATATTATAATGTATTGGCATAGGATATGTGCGGATCCGAACAGTATGGCGTTTTGCAATTGACATATGGAAATTTTGTCAATGCACACATTATTATCATTATTATATTTTTATCCCACCTTTGTATAGATAACTCCAAGCAGCAAGTATATCAAAAACTCCTGCCATCCATTTTTCCCAGAGCAACAACCCTGGGGAATGGATTGGGCTGAGAGAGAGTGACTGACCCAAAATAACCATGTCAATTTTCATGCATAAAGCAGCCCTAGACCTCAGTCTTCAGACTTCTTGGCCAGCACCTAGCCTAGCTACTACCCCAAAGTGGCTTTCATTTATATGGGTCAAAGCTGGTTTGAAAATTGAGATTCAGTGTATTAGAGTGGCACAGAATTGGATCCTTCTTCAGATATGTACCCCATATGACTTTGTTTCTATTTATCTTTCATCGGTTTTGTCGATCCTCCTCAAAATCTTTCAGATAAATGTTTTGTGTTGTGCCTTAAGCATTTAGAAGAGAAGTAGAACATAAATCTAATCAAAAAGAAAATAAATAAAATTGACGGCTTGCTTGTTTCAACACCTCTGAGTTAGATTAGGAAATAGTTATTTGCCAGTATTTTCTCATAACCAGATAGTTAATGGAGCAAAGATCTGAATCTGAGTTTTCTGCATTAAAATTTTACGGCCTTCCTAAATTGTAGCCTTGTAATTTGATGTTCACATACCAGAAAGTAGTTCCATTCATCTTGGACATTTAAATACATAGGGTTAAGGTTAGGGCACCAGCTGGTGTTCCAAATGGTGATTTTATACTGAAGATCATGAAACTACAGACCTATCAGCCTGACCTCAATACCTGGGAAGATCTTGGAAAACAACAAATCAGTGAACATCTAGAGGCAAAGTCATTACCAAAAGCCAACATGGGTTTATTAAAAACAGATCATGCCAGACAAATCTTGTTGCATTCTTTGACCAGGTGACAAAATTAGTGGACCAGAGAAATGCTGTGGATATAATTTACTTGGACTTCAATAAGGCATTTGATAAAGTAGACCACAACCTACTACTTGATAAGATAGAAAAATGTGGGTTAGACAGCATCACAACCAGATGGATTTGTAGCTGGCTGACTGGCCGTACTCAGCGTGTGTTCCTCAATGGAACTGCATCTACACAGAGGGAAGTGTGTAGTGGGGTGCCCCAGGACTCTGTTCTGGGCCCAGTGATCTTCAACATCTTCATCAATATTTTGAATGAGGGGATAGATGGGGAACTCATCAAATTTGCAGATGACACTAAGCTGGCAGGAATAGCCAACACTCCAGAAGATAGGCTTAAGATACAGAAAGATCTTGACAGACTTGGACATTGGGCACTATCTAACAAAATTAAATTCAATGGTGAAAAAAAATAAGGTTCTACATTTAGGCAAGAAAAAACAAATGCACAGGTATAGTATAGGACAGGTGGTACCTTGCTCAATAGTAGCAATTGTGAGAGGGATCTTGGAGTCCTAGTGGACAATCACTTGAATATGAGCAAGCAATGTGCTGCAACTGCCAAAAAAGCCAACATAGTGCTAGGCTGCATTAACAGAGGGATAGAATCAAGATCACGTGAAGTGTTAATACCACTTTACAATGCCTTGGTAAGGCCACACTTGGGATATTGGATCCAGTTTTGGTCACCACAATGTAAAAAAGATGTTGAGACTTTAGAAAGAGTACAGAGAAGAGCAACAAAGATGATCATGGGACTGGAGGCTAAAACATATAAGGAACAGTTGCTGGAATTGGATATATCTAGTTTAATGAAAAGAAGGATGAGGGGTGACATGATAGCAGTGTTCCAATATCTCAGGGACTGCCAAAAAGAAGAGGGAATCAAGCTATTCTCCAAAGCACCTGAAGGCAGGACAAGAAGCAACAGATGGAAACTAACCAAAGAGAGAAGCAACCTAGAACTAAGGAGAAATTTCCTGACAGTTAGAACAATTAATCAGTGGAACCACCTGCCTCCAGAAGCTGTGAATGCTCCAACACTGGAAGTTTTTAAGAAGAAATGGTATAGGGTTTCCTGTCTGAGCAGGGGGTTGAACTAGATGACCTCCAAAGTCCCTTCCACCTTTTTAAATTATTATTATTATTATGGATCATCGCACAGTCAGCCAGATGTTCAGATTGGATTTGGCATTTTGTCTACCTATCGAGTCCTTACCCAGGACCTGGGATAGGCAGATGTGGATGTTTGATGGTATTACAGATATCGTCGCAGGATGGAAGCAGTTCCTAATAAGGCCTGCCTTTTGCAATTGACTAATAGCAAATTTGTCAATGCCAATGGTGTTCAAGTGGTGCTCCAGTTGTTTTGGGATTGCACCCAAGGAGCCTATGACTATTGGTACTACCCTTGCTTGCTTTTGCCACAGTCTTTCTATTTCTATTTGTAGGTCTTTGTATATTATTATTATTATTATTATTATTATTATTATTATTATTATTATTATTATTATTATTATCATTAAATCCAATTATAGTTAGCATCAAGTGTAGAGGTGAAGGTGACCCTAAACATTTTGCTTTCTGAAAAAGGAATTCCACATACATCAGCCAAGAGAGTGGCAGCTGCATTTTAACTTTCCAGTACTGATCAGAAAATGTCTCTCACTAGAATAAAAATATCTGAACTGACAGGCA